CTCTGGAAGACACAATTCATTTATGAGCCATCTTTATGGCCTCCATAGTGATTCATCCAGTATCTTACACTTGGCAGGTATTCTATAAATATTTTACAAATATGAATTACTTGTCTCAGATGGGGGAAGAGACTATGAGGAGAAGGGTGAGGAGCATATAGTTACCTATTTATTGCCATTCACCAGAAAGTCATACAGAGACTTCAGATGAAACTCCAGGGGCTGGGGTTGTGGCTCAGAGGTAGAGCGCTTGCCTAGCATGTGTGAGGCACTGGGTTTGATCCTCAGCACCACATAAAAATAAAATAAAAAGATACTGTGTACACCTATAACTAAAAAATAAATATAACGTTTTAAAAAATTTAAAAAAAGAAACTCATACTTCCAGAGCGGTCATAGACCTCACACCCATGCCCTGATCAGCAGGCCATAAAACACATGTACCACAGTGAGCCACAGGATTGTTTCTCTCTTTGAATACCCAGGGGAAAGAGAATACCATGAMCTGACAATACCAGAAGACATTACAGGGGACCAGTTCACCATGGATGAAATCCAGAATAGCTGGCGGTACCTATCCTGCTCAAGAAACCCTGCCAATGAGTCACTCTAGAATGAGGATGAGCCAGGCACAGTGGTACACATGCCTATAATGCCAGCAACTAGGGAGGCTGAGGCAGGAGGATTGTGAGTTCAAAACCAACCTATGCAACTTAGCAAGGTCCTAAGCAACTCAGCAAGACCAGTCTCTAAATTTTAAAAAAGGGGTGGGGAGTGGTGGCTAGGAATGTGGCTCAGTGGTTAAGTGCCCCTGGGATTAATCCCAATTACCCACCCGCCAATTAAAAAAAAGAATGATGAGAACCTGCTTATCTCTAGATTCCCATTTGTTGTAGACATGCTACATATGTAAGAAAGCTGGCCATGTTTACAACAAGGCAAGGTACCACACTAGGACCAGGACAGATTCACCCAGTTGAAGAAAGGTATCTACCACCTAGCTGGAAAAACCATATCCAAATGCTACCCCAAATCATTTGGTCTTCCTTTAAATACCATTATTGTACTTCCCCTCATCAGAAAATAATTGTCGGGCTGGGGATATAGCTCAGTGGGTAGAGTGCTTGCCTTGCATGCACAAGGCCCTGGGTTCAATCCTTAGCACCACAAAATAATAATAATCATTATTACTATTATTATTATTATTAATTTCAAATGCAGGTATGCCTAGCTTTATGTTAATGGCATATCCCTAAAGAGAAATATTCTAATCAAGTTGACATAATTTGGAAGTTTCTATGAGAACTGATATTTGAAGGATCCTGAAGTGAACACTGAATTCTTTTTGTAAAACAATTTTTCATTATTTTTACTTATTTTTTGTTCTTGTACATTAGTTTTACTTACAGCAGAGCGCATCTAGAAATCACTTCCAACCTAATAATTTAAAACCCTAAGTTCCTAAGCTAGTCTTGAAAATGAGGTGTCAACCTGCCCACAAAACTCAGCAGGAAAGAACGGTGTCCCCTGATACCTTCATAATTATTTGTTTTGTTTTATTTTTGTGGTGCTGGGGATTGAACCCAGTGCCTTGTGCATGTGAGGCAAGTGCTCTACTAACTGAGCTAGACCCCAGCCCACCTTCATAATTATTGTGGGAGCAGATGCTTCAGAGGCACTGATCCTGGACTCCCTCTAGGTTCAGGAGTTGGTGAACCCACAGCCCACCCCACCCCACAGTAAGAGTGAAAAGAGCCAACAGGCCCAGAGGCAGCAGCAGCAGCAGCAGCACTATGATAACTGTGAACTAGGGTGGCTGCTTTTCTGCTCCAATGAACCAGCTCCCCAACCAGCAAAGCCTTGCTTCCTGCCAAACTAGTCTATAAGTTCAGCTTCTCAATTAATTCTTTATATATATATATATTTAGTTGTAGTTGGACCTTTATTTTATTTATTTTTATGTGGTGATGAGGATCGAACCCAAGGCCTTGCACATGCTAGGCAATTGCTCTACCGCTGAGCCACAACCCCAGCCCTCAATGGATTCTTTAAACGGGATGCAGTGGCGCAAATCAGTAATCCCAGCAGCTCAGGAGGCTGAGGCAGGAGGATCACAAGTTCAAAGCCATTCTCAGCAACACCGAGGTGCTAAGCAACTTAATGAGACCCCGTCTCTAAATAAAATACAAAATAGGGTTTGAGTGCTCCTGAGTTCAAACCCTAGTACCCTCCCCSCAAAAAAGGGCTTCTCTAGCTTCCTCAGAATCCTTCTAATGCATAAGTTTTAAGAAACCAAGTTTAATTTTCTTAAAACTTATGGTTTCTGTTGCTGATAATTTGTTATTTATTTGTTTGTTTATTTATTTACTTGGTGGTACTGGGGATTAGACCCAGGGGGGCTCTACCACTGAGTCATATCTCTAGTCCTTTAAATTTTGAAACAGGATCTCACTAAGTTGCTTAGGGCCTTGCTAAGTTGCTGAGGCTGGCCTTGAACTTGTGATCTTTCTCCCACATCCTCCCAAGTTGCTGAGATTACTGGCATGTGCCACTGTACCCAGCACTGGTGATCACTTAAAAAATCTCTACTAATCCATGCAGGGCACAGTGGCGCACACCTGTAATCAACGGCTCAGGACACTGATGCAGAAGGACCACAAGTTCAGAGCCAGCCTCAGCAACTAAGAAAGGCTCTAAGCAACTTAACAAGA